GCGCTCTTCCGCTCTGCGCGTTCACACAACTCGCTGAGCCCCGGCTGCTGCCCCCACCCGTTTCCCCGCTTCGCGCAAAGCATAAACCAGCCCAGCCGGCGAACAGTCCGCTTACGCGCACGCAGACCCAGAACCGGAGTAAGGCCAACCAGGTTTCGCGCGTGGTGGGAATGCAACGTCGCGCGTCTTGCGCTAATCGAGACTGGTTCCCCCGACCCGGTTGCCAGCGTGATCGGCATTAAGCTCTGCAAAGCCTTGGCAGACAAGCGGGGCTGCCCAAATCATTCTGAACGGGCCAGGCGGCCGAACCCCGGCGGGGCACCCGTCCGTTGGCCTCGCTCGTGGCTCTTCCCTCGGTGGTTCTGGCGCTTTGGGGTGACCTGCAGTGGCCCTCTCAATTTCAGCATTAATTCCCTCCCCCAGCTCATAAAATCTTTCCTGTCCTGGGGGTCTTCTCCGATGGCCTCAGCAGACGGGCTTGTTTGGCAACCCCTGGATAAGCTGTTCTACGGTGGCCCTGGAAGGGGGGGGGGGACTTTCTGTATTTCCATCTGTCGATTGATCGATTGATTGATTAGGTGCCATCACAAGCTGGTGTCTGCTCTTAGCCAGTACACAGATAGGTTTTCTCCGGGAGAATCTGCCCTTGGTCCTTTGGGGCTTCCAACGGGGCCCCCATCACTGCTGTAATTGAGACAAGCATCTGTCTTTAGCACACCTGGACTTTTCATCCTTCATCACAAACCAAGTAATTGAGGATCAAAACGAGTTAGCATTAACTTGAGTTAGCAACCTGTCTTTGCATTTTTTTTTAAAGCTTGCATGATAAATGCAAATAGCCAAACATATCAGCTTGAAAGAGAGATTTTCTTTAGGAACACAGCAAGTAGGTAAGACATTAAATTACTTGCCCATCACCAGGAAAATAAGTTCAAGTCCCCTTTAATTGTATAGATTTTTTTTTTGAATGGCAAGGATATGGAAGTGGTTTGCCACTGTCTTCTTTCAGAATGTTTTTCCAGCTCTGCAACCCAACCTGCAGCCTTGGGACTTCCTCGTGGTCTCCCATCCAAGTACTGAAACCAGTTCCAACCTGCTTTGGTTTTTAGCATCAAAAAGTGCCACCTAGCTGGGCTCTGCCAAGTATTCTCTGGCTAGTTATTAACCACCTCACCCCCTCCCTCTGATGATACTATCTGCATTATGTAGATAACATCTTTAAACACATTCGACTTGGCGTTTATTCCGGTCTGGAGGAATTCCCATTACAGCATCCTTAATTAAAGCAGGCAATTGGAGAACATGGACAGAAACGTTCAAAATCACAAATGTCAGGCATTTTTAAAAATCCTAAATGGTGTGAATTTTGCAAGACTTTCCTATGAATGTCCAGTAAAAAAGTAAATCTCCCTAGTTGTGTTAGCAAGACACAATTGTCTATTTTACTGAACCGTGGTAAGCTTACCACCAGGTTTCATATGTCACCCGGAAGCATAAAAACCGGGTTGTAGCTAAAGTCAATAATCATTCAGCTAATCGCTTAACAGTTTGATCTTTTACATATCTTCTCCAGGGCAAGGCTTCCTAAATGAATGGGATCTATTCCACAGAGGCATATGCAGGAACAGCAGTCAATAATAAGAATAATAATAGGCTATTCCATTAGCTCCAAGGACAGTGCTTGTTTTTACGATAAGACATGCACATTTGGTAGCTGTCAGGATTTGAGGAGGGCATTTCTTTGTTTTCCCGGCCAAAAAGAACTTTAAGGTGGTGCATCTTTGGAACACTTGGACATCTAGTTTAGCTGAGGGCCCCTTAGAGCGAGGGCCAATGTATGCAAACGCCTCTCCCATTTTCAAGGAGGTCAGCAGAGTTCCAGCTAAGCGCTGAATCACCCAAGATTATCCAGGGCAGGCAACGGATCAGATCGGGCAGCCGTTCCTTGGCTGCGATGGCTTCTGGCTTCCTACGGAGTGAGTTTCACCTCCACCACCACCACCTTTCCATTCTGAAGACACAAACAGAACTCAGACTGGGTTCATGCTCTGTGTTAAACCAAAGTTGGCTTAACCGTGGCTCGTTGAACATACCATAGTAGGTGGGGTTGACCCCAGCACGTTCATCCATAACTGTGATTTACAGCCCACGGCTCTTGTTTCTTTATGGCCCGCCAACATTTTTTTGCCCGCTGGTGAGTTTCGGTTGGTGTGAATTTATCTGCCGGCAGGCAAAAACTTTCCAGGTGTGAGATTTTATCACTAGTGGTGGGCAGAAGAGGAACAAGAGCCCAGACTAGAGTGGCAAGATGCAGAGAACCTCTGAAGGCAAACCCCAAGGGAACCTCACAATACTTTAGCAAAGATTTGCAATGCCAGGCTAAATATTTCCCGGGAACGTTTTGACTCCTTGATTTATCCCATGGCAAACTTGCCCTCAAATGTTCTGGGCATCCCACACGGGTTTATCTTCATGAAATCCTCACTGCCGCCTTGGAAATCAACAAGGGAGGTTGCATTTCCCGTTCAGGCCCAGACTACACCAGCTTTCAAGGTTTGTGGGTAAGCCACGATGGGATTCCTGTCTGACCTGGCCCAACTCGCCATCCATGCTGGTGGAGAAGTAAAGAAGCCCCCACCTCATTCTGTGCACTTCACCAGCAGGATTGCAAACCTGGAATCTCACTTGTGTTAACTCCCCGAGGCTGGCTGGACAATGGCTTCCGTAGAGGGTCTCCCCAGGGTGATGTCTCTAAGCAAACAGGACAGGGAAACGGGGGGGGGGGGACCTCTAGCTTCCTGCTGATTGTTACCCACATCCCTCCCCTGGCAGCCGCTTTTCATTGCTCTCATCCTGTGCATTTAAATATCTAGCCATGTAGGCTGCCCTCCCCACCCCGCATCCTCCAACAGAGCCTGGTGCAACCGGTGCCTTCAACTGCAAAAAGGATGGCAACCAGATTGCCAACTGACCTGACCTGCCTGCTCCTATGTTCAATTTGATCTGCAGAAGAAGGCAAGGTTAACATTTCTTGCAGAGTTTATCACTTGAAGAGGGCCAACCACTGCTCTTTAAAGGCCCGGAAGCAGAGAACAGTCAATAAATGGGGAATTCTAGCTCACTTTTAATTTTGGAAGCACAGTCTAGCTCAGCAAAATTGTCCTCCTCCTCTTCAGCCCCCCCGCCCCCCACAACATCTTCTTTGGTCTGAGGCCCTGAAATTAACCTATTTGTTTGTTTGGTTTTTATCTTCCCTGTCCGCTGCTCAATAAAAAGGCCAGGTTTCAAAGCTGAGAGTTTCTCTTTTTTTTAACTTTAAACTGTGGTGCCTCTCCTATTGATCCGGCTGGATATGAAAGACGTGTAGTGAATCACTGTCTTCCATACTGCACGATGACCTTATTTCTCTCTAGCCCATTTGCCCTTCTGCAGAAAGGCTAAACGTCTCCTTCACGTGTCGTTCTTGGCTGTGTTCACACAACACGCTTAACCTGATGATTGCATTAAACCCCTTTCTGGATTTGCATTGAACCTGACATTCGCTGGGGGGGCTGTGCTTGCACAACTCGCGAAGCCAGCGAAGATAAAGTTCAAACCGATCAGTTTTCCACGTTGTGCTTGTACAGCATGGTTCTTCCACTCACCTGTTTAAGCGTGTGTGCAAACACCGCCAACGTCTTGTGCTGCAACCGACGGCTTGCGGTCTCCGTTGGCTCAGGGTTAGGCCTTTCGTATACTACAAAAGGAGCGGAAATTTACGTTCCTGAGTGCCTTGGCAGAAGATTGTCAGATACATCCTTCCTCCTTGCTTTAAAACGCCACCACGGGCTGCGGTATTAGAACCCTGTCAATCCAGGAGTTGCCAAGTGCTTTAGGGTCCATCACCCATCTCCCGGGACAGCCGTCACTCCTTTCCCATGATCTCACTACTCCCGACACAGCCAGCCCAGAAGTAAACATGCTGAACAAAGTTGCCTCTGACCCTACGCAGAATGCCCCCTCTTCAGGAGCCCCGGATCTTTTCCTTTGTTTAATCCTCCTAGAAGGGAAGAAAAAATCATGACCCAAAACACCAAATTCCATTTTTCTGGGTTTAGTTTAATTTTTGCTGGCGGCCGGCCCCTTGGCAACTCTCGCCGCAGAAGGCCACGCGAAGGGCTCGGACTCCCCCTCCTCCCCCCTCCAGGCATCCGCAAGGCAAGAGGCTGGCCAGGGTGCAATGCCGTTATTAAAGCTGGAATCAGAGGCAGGGCAGGATTTGGCCACGGCTGGTCCGTCTGCGTTTCAATCTCCTCCCTTTCCTACGAGCCACATCAACTTTCCTGCATTTGGTTTCCTGGCCAGCTTTGCCTTAACTCCCGCCGAGGTCCACAGAGAAACGGGTTCTATGCAGAAGGGTGGAATATCTATTTATCCCAATAAAATAAAGCCAAGGTTTGATCCATCCAATGGGGAAAAAGTGCAGATCAGGGAAAAGGGAAGGGGGCTTCGGTCACCCGCAGCCCCCACTAGCTCTGCCAGAACTCGGGAATTCAGAGGCACGTCGAGTGCCCATCCTCCATGGCCCTGGCGGGGCACATCTGTAGGCGCAGTTCCTCCCCCATCACTCGAAGAAGAACATGCCCGGAGTCCTGTAGAGGCAGTGCGGGAGCCCCAGCTGATAACTGCTGCCCCCTTGCAGGGAGAAGGGGCTCCCTGGCCAGGCCTCCTGCTCCCCTGGCAACTGCACGAAGGGGGGGCACGAAGGCTGGATGGGAGCCGAAGCGCTGGCAGCCGGGGGGGCCGTCAAAAGGTGTTCCAAGGCGGGCCCGCGCCCAGCTTCGTTGACGCAGAAATTCAGGGCCTGCAGGCGACACTGGTAGCCCCCGCCCCGGGCCTCGGGGCTGGAGTAGCCGAAGGAGCCGAAGACGGGCAGGGCCGAGGCTTTGGCGTAGCAGCCCTCGTTGCTCTCGAAGGCGGGCGGGCCGCTGGGCGACGGCTGCCGGTGGCCGGGCTGGGAGGCCTTGCTGGGCCCCAGAAGGGCCGGGAAGGAGGGTGCCAGCTGCCCAAACGCTTGGGGCACCCCCTTGCCTTCCTGCCCAGGCTTGGGGGGGCCCTGGGAAGCATGGGGGCTGCTCTGCAGGCTTCCCTTGGGCTCTGGGCTGGGCTGGGGGGCCAGGCTCTCCGCAGGGGGGGCCAGTGGGTTGTCCTGAATGTCGTCCAGAAGGGCCCCTTTCTCCCGGGAATTGTTTGCCGGAGAAGGGAAGCCTGGCGGCCGGCTGTAAAGGCGAGCTTTGGACCCCAGCGCCACCTGTGGATGGAGGCACGGCAGCTTGGCTGGCAGGGGGTCGATCTGGGCGCAGGGCAGGCTCCGCTGGCTGAGGGGCTCTGGGCAAGGAAGGGCTGGGCCTCGGCCTTCCCCCCCGCCTGCCGGCAGCTTTGAGGGCAAGGCTTCCTCCGTGCCGGGCACTGCCCGGCTGCAGCTCTGGCGCTGGCCGGAGGGAGTTGCTGTCCACGGGCTGTCCTCCACCTTGATGGCCTTTCCTGCAAACGCCTGGCCCGCTGTCGGGGGCCTGCTTCGGGGGCCCCTCTTGGGGCCTTCGTCGTCCCCTGCGGCCTGGGCGGGGCCCCGCTTGCGGGTGAAGCGCTGCCGCCGCCGCAAGAAGCTCCCGTTCTCGAACATGTTGTAGCAGTCGGGGTCCAGCGTCCAGTAGTTCCCCTTGCCCGGCTTCTTGTCCTCGCGGGGCACCTTGACGAAGCACTCGTTGAGCGAGAGGTTGTGGCGGATGCTGTTCTGCCAGCCCTGCTTGTTGTCCCGGTAGTAGGCGAAGCGCCCCATGATGAAGCGGTAGATCCCGCTCAGGGTGATCCGCTTCTCGGGGCTGCTCTGGATGGCCATGGTGATCAGGGCGATGTAGCTGTAGGGCGGCTTGGTGCCCTCTGCCGCCGGCACGCGGGGGCCCGGGCGGGGCTCCGGGGCGCAGGCGGAGTAGCCGGGGAGCCCCGTGGCCAGCTGCCCGCCCCCGGCGGCCACCTCGCAGCCACGGGGCAGGGCGGGCCGAGGAGAGGCCGAGGCCGGGCCGGGATAGTCGAGCTGCATCGTCTCTCCGCTGCTGGAACCCGTCCCCTCGCTCGGTTTAAATTCTGCTGCGGTCCAGCCTCTGGGCTGCGAGGGGCCGTCCGGCCCCACCTCCTCCCCCAGGAGGGCCGAGCAGCGGCGGATCCTGTTCCTTCTGGGCCGGCCTTCCCAGCCCACAAGGCAGGCCGGCTGGAGCAGGGTCATCTGCGGAGCACACGGCATCGCAGCCCCTCGCCAGAGCCGTTCCCAGGCTGGCGGAGGGGAGCAGCGAGGAGGGAAAGCGATCTGTCCTCCGTTGCTAGTGTTCCAAACCCAGCAAGACTTTAAAAACACACGCACACACACACACACGCACGCACACACACAACCCGCCGCCACCCCCCTCTGCAACCCACGGTGCCCGTCGACCGGGGCTGGCCGGCAGCTTTGCTCCGTGGCTCAGAGTCCAGTCTCGAGGGAGGCCCCGAGAGGAGGAAAGTGGGGCTCTGGCGCCTTGGCACAAGAACCTGCCTGGAAGGACGGGGAATTTGCAGCCCGGTTCTGCCGAGCGGCTCACGCCGGGGTGGCGTCCAGAACAAATTCTTCCCACGGCTTGGAAAATGGAGCTCTGCGTTGCGAGCGGAGGTCACGCCAGTGGCTTTTGCTGCTGTAATCCATTGCCAGCTTGCGGGTCTCGCGAATGGATTTCTCTTTGGCAGCAGCCAAGCCAGGTGTCGCCCCTCCTTGGCCACTGCATCAAAGCTGGGAGGGGGGCTTTTGGATGTATTTGCAACTTGGATATTGGGGTCCCCAAAGTGGGATAGCCTACGG